TTGACTCTACTTAATTCCGTCCAGGAATCTCTTAGCTCTGTGCGAGAAATGCGTTGCCTGTTTACTGACTATTGTTTTGCTCTGGATGTTCCAACACACTTGTAGTCCTAAAGCGTTCCACGATGCCAAGTGAAATTGCTGGCATGACGACCGGCGCTATGTTTTTCGACTGTGCGAGGAAACCAGGAAAGCAACTTGTGACATAGAAATGTGGACAACTTGCGGATAACTCGCTTTCAAGAATTTTTCAAATTTCGAACACTAGATTTGCTACGTTTTCAGGCTGTATGTACTTGCTTTCTACATGTTAGAAGAACGAGTTGTAAGTATAGGAATATTATTTGTATGTAGCAGAGCATTGACAGGTCCCATTCCTAGAGTTGCGAAGTTGATTAGTTTTGAATAGGCTGAGGAAATCAGAAGTTTCAAGGGACTGAAGGGGTTAGATGCTACATGCATGCGTTAAAGGGTGGTATTGTCTCCTTCTAATAAAAGTATTTTCGATATTGTACGTCGGCGCAATGTGGCTCGGGGGGGGGGGGGGGGCAGTCGCCGCGCGCGGCTCAGCGATGTAGTGTAACTCGAACATTCCAGCTTCTCACGGACATTCCAGCTTCTCACGCATGCTAAGTGACTGCCCTCACCCCCAACCCCCCTGAATTGGCTACATTCCCCCTGGCTCACGAATTTCCTGTTGCCGCAACGCCGCGCGCGGCGACTGCCCCCCCCCGAGCCACATTGCGCCTTGTACTTCTATTTGCGCAAAAATACCTGCTCATGTCACTGATATGAGGTGCATTACGATTACTATGTAGCAGTAGACATGTGGAACTCGATACCACCAAAATAAGTCTGTCTCTGTGCTACTCAGTTGTTGCACGCGCGAGACGGGATCTTCAGAGACAACGCAATAGCAGCCTGCAAGCTGAGCTGTAAAACAACGTCCTAATGAAAGAATTTGATGCTCGCCTTTACTCGTCACTGATACCGTCACTACTACTTGTAATATGACTCCTCCTTGTCTGCTTACGTGACAACCTGTCTGTAGTATTCCTTTCCAGTGAGGCCTTTTTTGACAGTACTTCAATCACAGACCATTGTAACGGCAACGCACGTCGTACCGCATTCGAACCCTCGTGTGCGCGGTGATTTCGCGCTGACATGTCAGCGAGGTCCTACCACGGACCGGGATACGGTATAATTAAAACAGAGCCTTATACGGATAGTGGCTTATGATGGGAGGGGAGTGGGCCTGTAGTGTGCGTTGCATCCGTGGCCTAAACCGTGAACGGCGAGGCTAGCAGCTGCAGCATTTCTTATACATGGCCGTCAAACATAGATGTGTGGGTCCGACAAAACGCAATCGCAAACTATCCCGCACGCATTTCACATCCGATCTCTGAAGGAGTTGAATTGTTTAGAATAACGAATCATGAGAAAGCTCTGTAGCGCAGAAACGGGCTCAAAATGCCACGATTTTCGATGAGAACTCGTAATAACTTCGCGTTAGTTTAGAGGTCTGGAAAAAGCTTAATGACATAAGTTTCCCAATTGAACTCCACTGCTGGATGCCTGCAGTAGAAAGCCTCTCTAAATCGCGTAGGGCTGGAGCCAAACGCTTCAGGTAGGAGGTGAAACTCCAGTTCGGGGGGGCCACTCCATTGCTATCTTATCCGTAGTACTAGAGAGCAGTTCTTTGGGCTATCGAACACTACGGATAAGATAATAAGTGAACGACTCATTTCGAGCGTACTTTTGATAAGGACCGGTGGATGTCCTACATTCCACACTACCTGCCCACATCCCATCCACTTTTCTGCACAGGTGATCCACCCTGGAGCTCCTGCACCCTTAGCCCTTTGCGGAGGTGTCCTTTCTCCTGGTCCAGGACCGTTCCCTTGGGTCATGGCAGGCGGAAATGTGAAAACGTTTCAGGGTTTCTCACCATTACACCAATATTTATCAGAAGTCTACTTTAAATGAGTCGATTACGTGTCGTGAGCCCTCTAATCCTTATCTTGAGTATTGGAGAAAAAATGGAGTGGCCCCCCCGAACTGGAGTTTCACCGGTTGGCAGAACCCGTCCTGCTATTATTTGTCTGAAAGCCTCAACTTCCACATTTCTTGCAAACTTAAAAAAGTGACCAGCAATTGCAAATATGACAATCTTGAATGCTTCTATTTTGTCCATTTTTGGGCAGCGAACGTGATGCCCAGAGTACGGAGCAGTTTTGCTGACACCATTCTATTAGGTCATCTCATTCAAACATGTCCAGACATCTAGAGAAATGGTGGGAAAAGTAAAAGAGCTAGAGCATTCTGCTTGCTTTTGCTTTTAAGCTAGCACACCTAGCTACGGTATACCCTAATTTAGTTTTATAGTGCCGCAGGAGGAAACACCTTAAACACATAAAAGAATCATAGTGACCAAAATCGAGGCGGAATTTCCAAATGACTGGTGACACACGTAAAATTTGCAACTCGAATTCTCTGTGTGCTGGCTCAACTTACGCGTGATACAGTGTTCTCGAAGTGCTACGTTGAAGATATGGTGTGAGAGCTCAAAGAAGGGAGAACGGAAGCGAGTTGTGGTTGAGGACGCGTTCCATATTGTCCACCTTCCCCAAGAAGAGCGGGTGGATGAAATGAGGTTTCAAATGGCGCATCACAGATGTTGAACCTTTGCGATGTTTGCCCACGAGACTTGCAGTCTAGCTGCACCTGTTACGCAAATTGTGCCCAAAAATTGGGGATGGTCCACAGAACATGTTTTTGGATATCCCATTTACTCCCAGATGCAGGAGTCCAGAATCGAATTGGTCGTCATGTAATGCAATGATATTTTCTCTGCATAATGAACAATTTTGGCAGACTATCGAACTGGACCCTACTCATAAACGAAATTTGTGTAATTGTACCCTGAGGCCTAAGTCAGAAGCGTCAACTTTGGATTAACGCGAATGAGGAACTGCCCGAATTGGATCACGAGAAGTCACGTGGGTTCACGTGGATGATTATTATGGCGATGGATTTCTGAGGTGTGCCTCTTAAATGGCTCTGTCGGGAAAAAACCTCCGGCGTTTCTCAAGTTTATGGCTTGTTTCTTAGCGAACAAATTGACAAAGGAATAGCAGTACAAAACTACAATAACGATATCATCACCTATGTCGACGCCAGACCCCACATAGCTCATATTGCTCACGGGTATTTCGACCAAACGGATATTGTGACCTCTACTTATCCGCCGTATTTTCCCAACTGCAGCCGTGCGACCTCAGCTGTTTTGGCGAACTGAACGCCCTACTCGTTGGGAAGCGCTACGACAATTCACTGATCATCTATACGACATCAAAAGCATCTTGTCTATACTTGTTGAAATGAAAAAAGCTGCGCGGTGTCCAGTGTTTTCTAGACGCTGGGATCGGGTCGTTAACAACGACAAGATCTGCTTGACTTAACACCAAAGTATTAGCTTTTTATCTTTCCTGCTGTTCATTTTATTCGAATAAAACCGTGGACATGTTTGAATGAGATGACCTAATAAATTATTGGTAGGCCAAACCGCTAGCTTGGGTTATGATTTGCTCTACCCGTCAACGCCCTTTCACAAATAACGCCCAGTTATTACGTCATCAAAACTGCTCCGCCTTATAGCCATGGTGATCACTACTTCGGAGATGGAATAGTCGCGGTGCTGTTTTGATTTGCTTCAGCGTTCACCAATCAAATAGGCAAATGATGTATGAAAGTTTATTACGGCTAAGATTATACATCAGTACATAAAACGAAGACACGTTGGTGATAGCTGATTTGATACAATGGCTGATGATCTGCACAATGATGATCGTGATGATGAGCAAGGTCACGGGTTGTCCATCAGAAGCCTTTCGTGGCGTTGATGTAATCCCGCGTGAACGCTTCCAAATATGGTGTCACACTTTCATCTAGATACTTGGTCTTCTTTAAATACAACAACAGCACTTGGTGAATATATAGATACTGGTGTTCAGTCTGAAACAAATGCTGTAACTGTTCGCTACGGCAAGGCAAGTCGCAATGCTGACTCAATAGTACACGCGGCATCAAGTAGCGTAGGAAGCGAAAGCGAATACTCATTTCTCAAAGTCGCAAGTACGAGCAGCAGTAGCAGTTACGACATGTTCCTAATCAAGCAACAGAAGCCTCGTTTCTTCGAATGATAACTCTATCATAACGGCCTAACAGCCAACAAATATTGTGGTATCAATTAGTTGAAAGGCCGGCGACGCTTCGTACAGAATTCTTGGTGTGGTACATCCTTTCGAGAGCGCTGACTCTCCGCAATCGCTGATTCCCCTTTGCATGGCGGTGTATTTCGCACGATTGAAGCATCATCTTCACCATCACACACCGCATCGCGAGATCACCCACTGTGAGTCTTCTACAGCACATCTGCGGTGTAATTCAGATCGCACCATCACAATGCATTGATGAGTAAGGGTTTCCCCAGCTGACTTATCATCATCTCTAAAGTGAAAAAGGTCTTTCGCGCAAGGATACACCGTCAAACACATAGCAGACCCAGCGATCCAAATCGACAAAGTGGCCAAAGCCGTTTTTGCGTAAAATTCCAGCCATCGTCACGATTCTATATTTGACGAGAGGTCTCACAGATGCAAACGAAGGAGAAAAGGGCTATAGCTATACTCATCGAAGCATTGTTCAATTCGCTCTATCAGCCTGAAGCGATTTGTGAGGTATCCACTCTCAGAATATGTATACCATTGACCGATGTCGGGAGATGCTCAAAAACTGTCGGTTGGGTGTTGCCTATGTGTTTATGTTTATGTTTATGTTTATTACGCTGCTAAGGCAAACGCAGTAAAAAACAACCTTCTAAAACCAACGTAATAAGCCGTACAACACAAAAGATAAAAGCAGTTGACATGCGAGTAAACTAAAAGGAAAACCTATATAACACATAATCTAACTTGAACCCAAATGTTAGCAAGACACAATTATGGAATCAATTGATCAGTCTCAGAAAACTAGGAAAGCTCATACTTGGCTAGAACCACTGTCATGTTTCGCTTGAACCTACTCAGAGATTTAGGGACGATCGAATTTTTAGTTACTTTTTTGTACAAACTACCAGCTCTAAAGGTGAAACTTCTGGCTCTTATACTTGTTCTAGGCCCAGGAAGCATAATTTTAATCTAGCAATGATTGCATTCAAGACAATGAGTGGGCGCTCATCAGTCTTTCCATCAGACAACCAGATTACTCCAATTGTGATGGAATCTTTTCCGCTACAAAGTTTTGCGATCAAGAGTGCAATGTGATAAGATGAATGACACCCCTCTTACTTGTATTCCACCTACATTACGCCCCGATTTTGAATTGATCGCCTGGTCAAAGGATACCTTGCCAGTATAATGGTCAGAGAAGTCCTTGCAAGCTATTTACATCTCAATCTAACAACAGCTAATACGTGAGTTTTACCTGGCTTTCTTGCTGGGTTCATTGTGTACTCATTCGACAGATTGAATCTCTCGCCGAAATACGCACCCGCTTAGTGGAAAATATAATTGTCTGATGAGAGGGGAGAGATGCAATTCAACCATAAGACATCTATGTCACTGCTTAGCCGGCCACCCTCCTACAGGAGAAGTTCACTTACTTGTATGCTGTTGTTTCGTTGTTTACGAAGTTCTATAAGATACGTGGAGATTTCAAGTAGCGGTGCCGGCATGTGTAACAATTCCATGGCATGTTGAATTAACACTATAGAACCAGTGCGACCAATTCCAGCCGAACAATGAACAATAATTGGAGCACTAAAAAATTATAAATTGCAGGGAAGAACAGTAATGCTGTCTGGCGTGCGCACTGACATCATCCGCCAAAATCTAGAAAGACTTACGTATTATCTTTAAGCCTCGACAACAACACAATTGGTGCCAGATCAGCGTCTGGCACCCCACGATCAGGCCAATCTTGCCAATGGTAATGCTGGCAGGAGTGCAGCGGTTGACCTGGCACGCTCACCTCCAAACTCCGCACAAGTATATGAATTCGAGTTTCGAATGGGAATGGAAGCTGAATAGGAACTGAGATTATTGTATGGCTTTTACATCAAGCCGTTATGTAGCAGAAGTTCACCACGCATTCCTACTATAAGACATATATCTCTTTACTTCTACCATGTCCTTTAATAAGTGCCCCATGGTTAGGCGCCAACAGGACGCCGTTGGTAACAGCAATGTTCGAATTCTGCTCTGACCAGAAAGGTTGTTCAAAACGTGGTGAGCTTTTTGATGGCTTTACCATTGTTGATGACAACCTTTTTATACCCTATGGAAAGCAAAAGGTCACTATGAAAAACCCACTGGCTCCTGCTTCTTCAGCGAAACTGTAACACCACCTTCAAAACTGACAGGCTTGTCCTCTTCGGTTGGAAAATATTCTGCACATTTTTTGGCGTTCTGTGTCAAAACGGATTAGGCTCAGACGAAAATTAGACTAAACTAGGTAATAATACCTGTTCTATAAAATTACATAGCATTAGAATGGCTACAGACTTCTCTTGAACTACCATATACCAGAAGTCAGGACAAGTTTTCGGAAGTGGAGCCTAAAATTACGTGGGCTCATTGGATTCACTGGCAAACAATTCGAATACATATGGTATGAGTGGGCAGTTGGGGAGAGCCTACCTTCAGGTCACTAAGCGGTGACGCCCAGATGTGTCGCTATGCCCAACGCAACTACATGGCAACTAATCAGAGGCGTTCGCTCAGCATGGAAACCGGGCCCCTACATGGTGAGCACGCACCTGAGCGAGGACGAACAAGGGGAAAGCAGAAGTACCGATTGCTGTGCAGATGAAGAGCGTCCCATACTGCACCACGTGCTGTGACCCAATCACGCACCTGCGAGTATGTGGTCTGCCATCCATAATTTCCATAAGTTTCGGACTTTAATTTGAAAGGAGTGAATTACAGGAGAACAGTATGTTAACAACGGAAAACTGCGTTCTCCCGACAACACCTAGTCGAGAAGAAAAGCCTTCTTGGATACGAGCTAAGAGATCCACGCCGCGCTGGGACACCCTAGGCATCGAAGAATAACTGGCGGAACGTGAAGTAAACTGCCATGACTTATTTGCCATGGACTTGGACTGACGACTAACCTGAGTACATATGAAACGTTTTGGATTTGTTGGTGATGACACGTAATTTGCATGAATATACGAGACAGGGCCTATTCGAATAATAACACGATCGTTGTCGAGGCAGCCGACATCCTACAATTAGTAGATTCTAAGACAAGAAACTTAGCCTTATTATATTCGGAATCAATTTTTCTTGATGGTGTATATGGGAGTAGGGCTTAAGTATATTAAACTATGCGCTCGAAACTTTATTAGTGATTTCATAATGAAGAAACTCAAGGTGCTAGGACTGACCAGTTCTACACGAAAATGGACAAATTCAAAGATTCTGTAAAAAAGCTACATTAGCAGTGTCTGCTCTAAGGGGTTCACGATGGCGCCTACCGCTAGTTGGGCACACTGACGACCTTACTGATGCCTCATCTTCACCAACCCCACACTTCACCACCCCACTCAAATAGGAATGTCCTCATGCGACTATACTGTGAGCCTTTTTGTGATAACTTTCCCTTTGTTCCGAAGATCAGAATGTATCTAAGAATGAGCCTCTAATCCTCACGGTATGAGTCTATATCATCTTAGTATGGCTTTCCCTCCCTAAACTTCAGAGCATGCGTCTGCTTCGCCATCTCTGACGTTCTTCCCGATCACGCTCGGCCGTACGGACAACTTTTGTTCTCAGAACATCATGAAAGTGGTGCTTCTATCTTAGGATCACAGTTGTAACGATGCTATAAATGAGAGTGATTCGATGTAGCTCTTTGTGCAGTAAAATGTGCGAAGCTCGTCTTTATTCAACTCTTGATCGTTGCACACGAGCCTCCGTTGATAAATCCAATTGAGAACTTCCTTTCTTCCTCCTCCTTGACCTGAGCCGGCTTATGCAATATGTCCTGGCTTCACGAGCTAATCTGCATATCAGTTGTCTAGAAGCATCTCGTACAGGCCTTCCCTAACTTTTATGAACATGAGCAGGTTCACCGAAGCTCGCTTTTCTTCCAACGCTTGTTTGCATACTTCTGCTCCATGCTCCGATGGATTTCTTCATACTGCGTTTTCTTCCACGATCCACCTCGTGATTCAGCCAGCTTATCCATGCCATTGTGAGATGAATTAAAGGCATGCCCCAGGATCGCACTGGTGTGGCTCTTGCACACGAATGTGAATGTATCGGTGCCAAGTGGGCCGGCAGTGAAGAAAAAAGGAAAAGAATCCGTCGAAAACGCTCAGGTTGAGGGCTCACTCACCTTCCTAATTGGCTGTGCTAAAGGAACGAGAGACTAAGCGCGAAGAGGAGAGTATGGGGCGAGAGAGCGCATCAGATGAGAGAGCACCAGACAACGGCCTGATAAGAGAGCTCGTTCGCTGCAGCTCGAGCAGCTTACTTTGCAAGCCCAAAGCGTTCTTGTCGGTCGAATTCCGTGCACGTGAACGCCACATTTGTGATTGTCCCCTAGGGTTCTATACTTCTGACCGAAGAGAAGAGTTCACACGACCTCTGCCTGGGTTGTGCCTTTAACATCAGTTGATAGTGGTTTCCCGGACTGGCCTATGAACTGAGATTTCACAAATTCTTATTTTCTTTTAATAAAGAGGTCTACAGCTGTGACTACATGGAGGCTTGTGCTGAAGAGCCGAATAGCTTTCACGTAGGCGTATTAATCGTATCTAGGCAACCACTGAAGATCCCGTGCGTGATGATATCATCTTACGCATCGCAATAAAAACCTCTGCCCCCTCATTCACCTATGTAAATAACTTCTACATTTGATCTGGGAGGATCGTCGTTCTCCTATTGGACTTACCTTCATTCATCTCATACGGAAGTGCTCGAGGTGCGTACGTGAATGGCACGCACCCGTATTTCGTATTGATCCGCGAGCTGTGAATTGATTGTTGATAATCTTCACGGCAGAGACATCACCCCAGAGGAACTCCGTCACAGCAGTATTAGGTTCGAAAGAAAGTTCTGAACCACCCTACAGCCTAAATTTGGCAATCTTTTTCTGTATGATAAAATGCTGCTATCTCCAAGCTTCATTTGATGTTGTATTGATGAGTGATCTTGAAGCTCTTGTAATTACTATTTATTGGTTAGCTTTCGGCAATAATGCCATCATCAGACCTTAAATTACATGCACGGAACAACTTATTAAATTGCAAAACACCATACATCGAAGCATACCAGCGAGAAATAGGTTCAAAAATTTGAGAGCGTCACCAGTTTCCCATAAATGTCAGGTCGAGGCAGTGAATCCCTAGTTCGGCATACGCTGCGCCATTGCTTCTTCCACCTATTAGCGGAGCAGATGCACTTTCCTTCGCTGAAGGCTGCATGCCATAGCCAATCGTCATTGCTGTGCGACGAGATAATGGTGGAGGTGGCCAGCCTGTGAAGTGTGCGACACACATTGAACACATTTCCAGGGCTTGTCTGACATCTCAAGAGTCTTGAATACGTGTATGTGAAAGAGCTCAAGACGCTCTACCAGATAGTGTGGCGATTTCTTCGAATTCTTCGACCACAGCGCGAACGAGATGGAGTAGGCTGCGTTGCATCGTAGCGATCAATTTCTTCGCTGTGTAGCGTTCGAGTAATCCTGACGCAGCCACTTGGTCTTGCCCTAGTCAATAACAACACTGATTCTGTGCCTCGTGGGCCGAGTCTCCAGGCGAGGTCAGCAGGATGAGAGCTCGAGTGTTCTCGCGGGAGAAAATGATTTCGTGCAAACGCCATTATTGGGAAAGCTGATTTGAGCACCGTACGCAGCACAGTCCACTCCTACTATATACCACCCATGGAAGATTCCAGAGCATTCGGGAGAAATCCAGAAAGAGCGCGAATTGAGTGTTTCAGAACTTTCTTTCCAACCTGATAGAACTTGCTCGGTGGAATCCCCCTTTCGAGAACGCTTCCAATGTGGGTTCACCCTTCTAACATATCAGTTATCCTTGCAACGAAAACTAGCTGTGTGGTTGCACACCATTCTTGCCGAATTTGGCTAGAATAAGGGCAATTCAGCAGACAATGTGTGATCCTTTTTCAAGAGTGAAATGGAGACATCTATTACAAGCTGGTTATACATACGTGATTTGGCAGAGATATACTGCGGCTACAAATTAAAGGGAGCCCTAGTGGGCCCAGTTTTCAGCAGCTCATCAGCTCCCTTCTCGCCACACTTGTCCATTTACATGTTTCGTACGCTTGCATGGCTCGTGCTGCGAATATTTGCGTGTTTCTCGGGTGATGTTATGTGAACCCCGCTATGAAACTGGTGTATGAGAGTGCCTAGTAGTGAAAATGGAAAGAAAAGCAAGGGTAATCATTGGAAACGCTCAAATTCATGTCCGAACCCTTAACCAGTGAGGTAAGCTGTAATACGACGGCGATACAGGGCGATGAAGTCAAAGCACGTGAGAGATCACGCCGTTCGAGAGAATACGCAGATATCGAGGCGGCTGGGAAGCATTGCAACCAGAGCCAACCCTGCGTTGCGCAGTTTTCAACGCAGTTTTGCCCGATTAGACACGTTCTCTCGCGCGAACATTCACACTCGCATGCTCG